CCCGAGAGGCACGCGCGCCGTCGCCGCCGGCTGCGCCGCCCCGCCGGCCTCGCGCGCCTCAGCCGCGGAGCGCCAGCCCTCCCGCCAGCTGCCCTGCACCGCCTCCGAGCGTGGCGCCCACGGCGACGTGCGTCAGGGCGCACGCGACGCCACGAGCGCGCCGGGCCGGGCTCCCAGAGGGCCGCGCGGCGCGCGAGGCAGGCCGGGAGCTCCGCCCGCGCGCCCTGCAGACGTGTTTCGGCCCTGAGGACCCGGGGTCTGGGGTCCTTTGTGAGTCAGAGACCTGCTCCGCCCTAGTGGGGGTCGGCTGCTGCGGAGCTTGGGTCGGGGGTCCGCTGCTGCGGAGCGGGGGTTGGGGGTCGGGCTCGGGCGAGTTCCAGGCGGCTTGGCCCTTTGTTCTCTGCAGCCGGATAGCTGTGAAGGAGGCAGGGAGCAGAAGCTGCAGCCAGCAAGTGTAGCTGAAGGTATCTGAGCCTGCCAGGGACCTTGCAGAAGAGGGAGACCAGAAGGATGGCCTACCTGGACCTCGGGAGAGCTGCTGCTTGTGGTCCATTTTTGTAGCAGGATGACGGTGTTTTACCAGTGAGAGAGTGAAGTTTGCTCCATAAAGTCTGAACCCATCACAGTAGGACCTGTAGGTACAAGATCATGCTCCTGGGAGGATATTCATACTTCAGGAGAGCCAGTGAGCCAAAGTTGCGCCATCAGACTCTCCAGATACTTCTCTGGGATACCTGTCCTGATGGGGAGGATGGTGCTTTTGGCAGTCAGGATAGACTCTAGCCTCCTGAGTGCTTTGAGGTGACAGATTTATCTGTTCTGTGATGCTTGTGATAAGGAGGTCACCTCCGTCTATTTGGAATCAATCAGCCCCAGGCTGAGGGTTAGGCAGTCCACACCAGGGCACCCTGAGGTAGGAGATACACCCACTCCAGGCCAACAGGCTGCCTGGTCAGGGAACTAAGGGGCACTAATGGATACTCTCATGTGACTTGGGCAGGCTCTTGGCTTCTATGTGAGAAGATGGAGTTGTGGGTGGGCTCTCAGTGGCTGTGGGCCCTTTCCCTCCCCAGCCTGTTGGGTACCACCTGGGTAGCTCCCTGGCCAGAGGCTAGTGGCCCAGCCTGCAGAGTAGTATGTGTCTTGTGGCCTCCTAGCCAGAGAAGCAGCTGAAGGAATGCCTGATGGTTGAGGTTCCTGTTAGCTCACTGTATGGTTTCCTGAGCCAGACTGTGGAGGTGAGGGGAGGACAGGCACAAGGACTGTCCTCACATGGGAGAAAGCGCATGAGGAGCAGTCTTGATACTGTTAAGATGTTGGCTGTGCAAGGAGGGACAGAACAGGGCGCATCTCTGGTCATCTGCATTCATCCTGAGTGTTCTGAGGCACTGCCTCATCAAGTTGACTCTGCTCTGTGCTAGTGAAGTCCTGGCCTGAGGACAACTTAGAAAAGGGGACAGACCTGAGCTGCTGCCACAAGACAGCTGGAGGAGGACTGGAGGCGGCTATCTGCGGAAGCAGCCAGTATCTTCCCCAGATTAGCATGGGGCCCAATATGTGCAGGCTTCTGGGGTCAGCAGTAGTGAGACCCAGAGGCCATCAGAATCGAAGTTCTTGGGGTGGGCACTCTGTGAGCCTGATGTGAGGGCATGAGAGATTCTGGTCCCAAGCTCATATTTGTCCTATCATGACTACCCACTTTGCAGGCCACACAACTGTGTCAAAGAATAAAACCTCACGTAAAGAGAACAGAGTTCTTGGCCCTGGCCAATCCCTGCCCTGTGGGCCTTCGGCAAGTGGAAGGACCTAACCAGTCACTCAAACCTGCTGAGCCTGAGCCTTGCCTCTGCTTTTCCAAAGAGAATGGACCAAGACTTGAAAGACTCAAGCAGGGGCTCTGTGCAGCATTAAGAGCTGACCAGAGATATCCTGACCAGGCCACTGCACAGTTGCGGGGAAGGAGTGGCCCCAATCCTTGGAGGACATGCTGGGGTCTCCTAAAGGACTGAAGGCCTTCTCTCCTCCAGGAACATGCTTCAGGTGAGCTCCCAGTGGACCTGGGCCTGCTCCTGCCCACCTGCAGGCCCTTCTCAGCAGCGGTCTCTGGGAACCTCATTTAACAATGGCTCTTATACCCACCTTCCCCACCATGTTCCAAGCGAGTGTTTGTCTTCTTTGAGCTGGACACTCCAGAGGGCCAGCACAGCAATCCCAGTGACTCTTGGTGGGGCCAACTGGACTGTGGACATGGAACTAAGAAGCTGCCAGCCCATGGTGGAGAGGCTCCTGCTCCTAGCTTTCAGGTAGATTGGGGCCCTGCTTTATCAGGCAGATCCCATGGGCAGCCCAGATAGATGGGAGGGCAGACCATACCCCTGCAGGCAGAAACTCAGCCTCTGATGTGTCCATGATCCCAAATTTCTATTTCAGTTCTACCCAGGAGTCCTGGGCCAGAGGCTCTGGTACTTGGAGCCCTCCTGTTCACTCTACCCACTGAGGACAAAGCCCCATTGCAGGCCAGGTTATATCCCTTTAAGTTACCAGCTCTGGGAAGAGTGGAAGCTGAGCAGTCAGCAGAACCCAGTGGGGCATGTAGATTAGTGGTTGAGGGCTTGCCTTGCATGTATTAGGCCTGAGTTTGACCCAAAAGAAGAAGAAAAAAAAAAGATAAATTCTTATAATGCTTAAGATAACTCAAGAATTTTAACATTCTTGGGGTAGTAATTACAAATCAGTCCTCAGCCTCTCTGAGCCTCAGTTTCTCCATCTGTGTCTGACCAGTGGGCAAGTAGGCAGGTCAGTGTGAGGGTGGTAGAGATTTGCAGCTGTGCCATTTGCTGCTCCAGGGACACCTAGGTTGGGTAGGTGTTTCAAGGGGATATCAGACATGACTGCCTTCCAATCAGACATAGCACTTATTCTCAGAACTCTTGGTGTCTATCCTGGGGCCACAACCTTCAATGTTCTTTGCCTGGGGGTGTTCCTCTCACCACCTGGTATGGCCCTACCCTTTGTTGATCCCTGACAGGCTGCATCTCAGGGATAGGGACACTATGAGACTTGCAATTCAGTGGGGTGTGATACCAGTCTGTGCCTAGAAGGCTTGTTCCTGGAGAGGAACTAAGAAGTTGCAGGAACCATGGGGAGAGCAAGGAATAGGTCCCTTCCCTCTTTCCCAGTCTTCAGGTAGGGACTGAAGCAGATTGACCATAGTTGTGAAGATGGTCACGTGTGCATAAAGCATCTGCAGAAACCCACACTTAGATGGTTCCCTGTTTATAAGCATATGAATAATAAAAATGTCCAAACCCGGGGCTGGGGATATGGCTCAAGCGGTAACACGCTTGCCTGGCATGCGCGGGGCGCTGGGTTCTATCCTCAGCACCACATAAAAATTAAACAAAGATGTTGTGTCCACCGAAAACTGAAAAATAAATATTGAAAAAATTCTCTCTCTTTAAAAAAAAAATGTCCAAATCCTCTCTGTGGAGCCCTCCAAATTCCTTCTTTGGAATAATAAGGAATATGCTGGGGCCTTCACCTGCCTAGGGGTTGAAGAGGCCTAGTGTGGCCTTAGGGGAGGCTTGGGATGCACTCAGGCCACATCTTACCTGGAGAAAATAGCCTGGGGCCTGTCTTACCACACCCGCCCCTGAGGCAGGGCACTTTTCTAGGGTGAGTTAAAGATCCAGACCCTACCCACAGTGGCTGAGTCCTGGGGGTGGCCCAGCCTGGAGGCCATGCTGTCCTGGAGCATTAGGTAAGGGGAAAGGCTTGGCCAAGCTGCAGAGTCAAGATTTTGTGAGGTCTGACCAATGTCCCCAGACACCTGGGGGAAGTCAGGGCCTGGCCCAGGGACACCCCAGCCCACCACCTGCTGGAGGACAGAGTTTGTGTGTATGGTAACAGCTTTAATCTGTGGTGGCTTGACAAATCGGGCAAGACCCTCCTGGTCTCCCACCCTCCTGCTTCCTGGCAGGAAGAGCCATTTCTCTGGGGAACAGAAGCAGCGTGCAGGTTGGTTGGTGTATCTCCTGGAAGCGTGTCTGCAGCCCCAGCACTGCTGGGGGCCAGCAGGACAGGCCATAGTCATGTCAGGGCTAGGACCTGGGCACAGAGAGGCAGGCTCCAGTACTTATATATTATACATACATATATATATATATATATATATATTTTATGTGTATACACAGATAGTTTTCTCTCTGTAAAGTATTAAAAAATTGATCAACCTTCAATCTATAAAAAATACCTACTCTACATGATAGAAAAATCTCTCCTCCAAGTTTACATTGATTTACACCCGAGGCTTTCCCCAAAACTGTACAACACGGGGCCACACAAGCTCTAGTGTGGAGGGCCACGTGGAGACGCAGGGCTGCAGGTGCACAAGGCACGCACTCACTCCCACAGGCTATGGGCCAGCAGCTTGCAAGGAGCCACTGCTCAAGTCCTGGGAAAGCCTGCTAGCCTGCCCTCCTGCACCCTCAGGAAGAACAGCGATTTTAAGTCAGAGCCATGAGGTTTCAGATCCTGGACCGGGGCCCAAAAAATCTGACTTCACCCAAGGCGATGGCAGTCCGCCTAGGGAGGACTGCTCCAGGAGGCCAAGGCAGGCCACACCCAGAGAAGTGGCCCCTGCACCTGGGAGTCAGGACAGCACTGTTCACCATCCACGCAATGAGTTCCAGAGTCAGGATCCCAAGTCCTGACTTCAGAGCAAAGAGTCTCAGTGGGCTCCTGCTCCAGTCCTGGCATAAGAGTCAAGAGTCCCTGAGGGCTACTGTAGCAAGGGTCAGGCCATGGGATGGCTGCACAGCTTGGAGGCCCTTGGGCCTAAAGCTGGATCGAGGTGGCATTTGGCTGGGTGATGTCCTGAGCAGTTGGGGAGGAGAGCACTAGGGGCCTGTGGCTCATAGCCAGACCCTGCACGTGTCAGCCTCACCCACCTGTCCTTCCCACACCACCATGTCCCCTACAGGGGGTCCATCTGGAGCAACCAGGATTGGATGTGTCAGGGCGCTTGTGTGGCTGTCATAGCCCTGGTGGGAAGAGGGGTCTGTCATGAGGGAGTCAGAGGGACTTGTCCCAGCCTGAGACTGCCATGACACTGCACAGAGACTGAGAGGCCCTGCCCCCTCCCTGTCCACTGTGGACTACAGGCTGGGGGCTCTTCTTCTCCCTCCTCGGTACTGCTGTGCACCCTCTGCAGCCCCACTGCCTGGGCGTAGCTCCTCAAGGTGCGAGGGGCTCTCTGGGTGCTGGTGGAGGACTGAGCAGCCAGGCTGGTCTTGGAGGGACTACTTGACCTCCAAGATGGACGGGTTGGTCTCCATGATGGCCACGATGATCCTGTCGATGTAGTCCTGCAGGCGGAGGTTGATCTCCTCTTGCCTCTGGACAGCCTCCATGAGCTGTGGGGAGAGCACAAGTCAGCATGGGACGTGCAGACCATGGGCACGGGTAGGCAGGGCCCTTACCTCGTCACGGGACACCGAGCTGATCTCTGCCGCAAGGGACTCAGAGAAGGCTGTGGAAAAGAGGCTCCGGGCGCCCTGGATGCTGAGGGTGATGATCTGCCCGTTGAGCTCCTCGTTCTGCTCCTTCAGGTTGCGGTTATCCTGGGGACACAGCAGTGTCACATGGGGCCCTGGCCCCTGCGGGGGGCTGGGCTAAGACAGCAGCCTTCCAAAAGCTTCCAGGCAGGGTGGACGGGAGTCCAAGCCATACCTGCTTGAGCCTGCGGACCTCCTGTTCCAGCTCGCTCTCCCTGGTGCGGCTGTTGTACTCCTGCAGGCCCAGGCTGCTACTGCGGCCCCGTCTCTGCTCAGCCTCCAGCCTAAGGAGCTGCAGGTGCTCCAGCTGCTTGCGCAGGTCCTCTATCAGCTGTAAGGCAATCGTGGGCACCGGTTAGCAGCTGAAAGCCATGCATGGGAAGCACACCACATGTGACAGGGCAGGTGGGGAAAGGGACAGTGGCTCTGTTCACCTCCTGGGTTGCCTCCTTGTCTCTCTGGAACTGGTGCCGCTCATGGCTCAGCCTGTCCCCCATCTTCCTCTTGCTCTCCTGCTCTTCACTGAGCCGCAGCGTCAACCCTTCGATCTCATCCAGCAACTTCTGCTTCTCCTATGAAAACAGGCATCATTCATGTGCATGAAGAGCTCACCCCAGACCCGCTCCCAATCCACCCCAGCATAGTGGCCCTAGGATCAATTTCTGCAGAGCTGTGCCTAAGCCTTCAAGGCTGCCCTACCTTAGGGCCAAGGCACACACAGGCCACAATGGCAACTTCTCAAGAGGCAGGGTGAGAAGGACCTTTGTATAGATGGGACCTAAATCATGGCTGTGGAAGCTCTATCCTGGCACCTCTGGTTCATGCAAGCCAGAGCCCAAGTGATCCTGGAACATCCTCTGGTTTCAGAGCTTTCCAGAGGGCACTCAAGGAGGAAAGACAGGAGGGGAGGGGAGGTGGGGAGCTGTGACACAGACACAGTCTCACCTCTCTGCCTGCATATCTAAGGAGGAGGGCATCCCTTCACTCAGATCCTTGGGAATCTGTGGGCCCCAGGGATCTGAGTCCATGGGAGAGCTGTAGGCCAGGTAAGGTCCAGTGTCTTCCAGAAAAGGGCAGCTCCTCACACAGAACAGGCCAGGTGCTGTCACTCCACAATTGGCAGCAGCTCCCCACTCTAGAGGCCCTGACAGTACATCCTGGCTCCCCTGCTGGTGTCAAGAGCAGAGGGCAGAGGGGCAGCTGGAGTAGGGTGGGGCCTGGACCCCCAGCTGCAGTCGGACCGGGGGCTCACCTCTTCCAGACGCTCAATGTTGGCCTTCAGGCAGGGCGTGCAGGACCGCAGCTCACCATTCTCCTCGTCCAGCTGCTGCAGCCTGGAGCATAACAACAGCTTGGACCACTCTCCTGAAAATATACCTCTAAGGGCAGGGAGGGCCCAGTATCTGGAGGAATCCTCCTAGGGGCAGTGGCCAGTCTTGACCCCACACGAACACTCAAGGCTGAAGCTTCTCTGTAGCCCACAAATGCTTCTAAATACTGGGTTTGGAACACTTTAGGTTCACAGAGAAGTTTCAAGCAAAATTAGTGTCTGAAGGGCCTGCTTGCTCCCTTTCCTTCCTGCTGCCACTGCTCATCCTGGGGTAACTTCATCATGGCCCACACTCAGCTGGGCCATTCTTTCTTTCCCCTTTTTTTGGGGGGGGGTACCAAGGGTTGAACCCTGGGTCCTTAACCACTAAAAGCCATGTTCCCAACCCTTTTTTATATTTTACTTAAAGACAGGGTCTTGCTGGCGTTGTTTGAGACCTTGCTAAGTTGCTGAGGCTGGCTTTGAACTCAGGATCCTCCTAACTCAGCCTCCTGAGCTGCTGGGATTACAGGCATGTGCCACCATGCCCAGCTGAGCCATACTTTCAACAAAACCACACATGCTATGGATTTCCCACCAAAGCCCAGAATCCCATCCAAGGACCCCCATGGCATCAGTCCTCATGTCTTATTAGTCCCCTGGTCTGAGTCTCCCTGACTGCCCTGCTTTCTCATGACCCTGACAGTGTGTAGCAGTCCCGGCACATCCCTCACGTTGGGTCTCAAGTTGGTTCTGTCTGATGTTTTCTGGGGCAATGGGTTTGG